CCCCCCCCTTGTTCGAAAACGCCGCGACTGCAGGAAAACCATGACCGACACGGTGTCCAGAAACGCCCAGCGGCGTAAGGCTGAAGCTGAAAGCGCGGCGAGGGCGGCAAGGGACAGGGCTGCTGCCAGGGCTAATGCGGGGGGGGCCGCGGATGGTCACCCGTTCCCCGGAAGGATACCCAAGGGGTGGGAGTTCGACGACAGCAGGGAGGCGGCATTTGCCGAACAGCGGTTGAATTCTCAGGTGATGGGGAGTCCGACGATAGCAAGGAGGCGGCGTTTTTGCCGAACTTGTTGCTGTTTTTGTCGGCGAGTGGATGTCTTCCCTCCCCCTCCGCTTGCCCGGACCTCGTGCTTGCTAAGCGCCCTCGACGTACAAGTACTGCTGTAACCCGAGGTTCTAATGCTCTGTCTGCGATAATTCATTGGTCGCACCATGTATGCATTTTGGCTACGATCCACTATGCGATGTATCTCTTGAAAGTCGGGCACCCAAAACATTCCGTGCAGCTCGCCTAGCTTGCGCGTTCGTTCGCCAGGCAGCGAAGCAACTGTACCGAGCTCGATGGCGTTGGTGCGGGCACGCCATGACGGCGGCGATGCTGTCATTGACCACATGTGTATGATATCAAGAATCAAGCAATGGTGTTGCATTGTGTGCGCGTCTCTATATTGCTTCGCATCCACCATTTGTTTCTTTGACCGACTCTCCTTTGATGAAATCGATAGACGACGCTAACGAAAGTCCACGCATTTTCCTACATTTTTTTTTTTTTATGTTGCGTTTCCTGCGTTTTTTTTTCTTCCCAGGTGGTGCAACACTTGTCGGCGTTAGGCGTGAGAAGTTTCGTGGCGGGAAGCGACGAGGTCAAGGCTGCGTACCGTGGGAAGGCAATGGCCCTTCATCCGGACAGGTAACCGTAGGTGACATGACGGGAGATATCACCCCCCCCCCTTACACCGATCACGAACCGCCTTCGCGAGAGGATTTTATTTTTGTTGTACCCTATGAAATAGTGACGGGGAGTTCGTGCTCCTTTCCCTAACCCTAACCCCACCAACAACCAAAGTCAATATCCTCGCGAGGTGTACTGCCGATCACCGCACAGGTACCGCAGGTGACATGATGGAAGTTATCACACCCCCTGGGACCAATCACCCAGACAAGTACCATAGGTAATATGATGGAACTTATCACACCTCGTGGGACCGATCACCCAGACAAGTATCGTAAGTGATATGACGGAAGATATGACACCCCCGGGGACCGATTGCCGGGACGTAAGATATCAGACTCCCGGGAACCGATCCTCAGAACCCGATTTCTCCATCGCAGAAAGAGTGGCAGCACCGAAAACGTCGGCGTGCAAACCGTCTCGTCGAGAGCTTTGAATCCTCTTTGCCATGGAGAAATCGAGCTGTGAAAACCGGAACAAGGGGTGTGGTATGTTGTGTCATGTCACCTACGCACTCAGAGCTAGCTAGCCGTTCACGTCCCGCGACGTTCCACCCTCTCCCCTCCCGCTGTCTTGTCCGCAAACCCCCCTCCTTTACCTGATTTCCTCTCATCAGGAGGAGTGCCGATTCTTCGAAGCAGAGCGGCCAGGAGTTCATGAAGGTGGCCGCGTCGTACGAGTGGTTGGACAAGAACTACTTCAGGAGACGCCCCCTCTAACACTTAAGGCACCCGGTTGTATTCTGAACCGTGTATTATGTTTTTGGCTTTTTTTTTGTTTCGTTATTGGCCGCAGCAAGGTCGCGGTGCGCTCGGTAGCGCGTACAGAACAGCATATTTCCTTCTGATTTATTATCATCTGTCCGTTGTCGTTGATGATTTGTTGAAGAAATACACGCCTGTTACGTATCGTAATAAGAAAAGACTACAACCGTTTCGAGGACAGCCGTACCTCGCTCAAAAGTCTGTGTTTAGAGTTCATTGTTCATCACAGTGAGGGTTGTACGGCCGCAGCAGCAGTCGTGATCTTGGCGTTTTCGCACGAGGATGTTTCTCTCGTGGAGGCTTTTTCGACGTTGTAGCGTGTGGTGTGTAGATGACGGGTTGACTAGCGTGTGTGGGTGGGAGAGGTGGAGTCGGGCACACCGGTTGACCCCCTGTCGTGTAGAGGAAGTTCTGAGAACGGAGCTACCTGGTGAGGTGGCTGTCATTTCGGGGCGAGGGGGAGGGGTGAAGTCCTCGGGTGCTTGTGGTACACACGCCGTCGCAACACCACACGTGGTGGCAGTAGGCGATGGATTCCTGTGGGAATGTCAAGCGTTCGGGCTGGTTTTTAACAGCAGTAGTAAATTGCTACGATATGGAGAACCGAGTTTTGGGGGTAATGTACGGATGGATGTAAGCGAGTCAAGATCGTTTTTCGCGGCCACGATAAATATGTGTTGTACACGGCGGTACCGTCCCAGAGAAGAACGGATCGTACTTACACCGTAGTTAGAAACCAAACGAGATCATCGAAGCGATGAGAGACTCCTGCTGTCGGAAGAATCAAGGTGTTCAAAGTGGGAACATAAAAACATCGTTTTTGCCCAGATCTCATTCAAGTTGGGCACGCGAAAGATACGTACATGTTCGTGTGTCGAGAGCGTCGTGGTCTGCTCTCACACGTTCGTGTATGATGTGGCAAGGGTTGCGGCCTGCGCCGCCTGCAACCAATCGAAGCAGTCAGCGCTATGGCCCGTGCCTGTGTTTCGTCAAATGATATTTTGAAGTAATTCATCGTCTTTTTTTCGTGCGTCCTTTCTCTTGGGATCATTCCCACAGGCAACTTGTGCGCCGGGCCTCTACCGTCACAGTACACCCACACGCAACAAACACTGGTGCCATCAAAGGGCACGCAAACGAACCACCGCTGGTTAGTGGCTTTCGTTTTGTCACAGGAAGTGGGCCCATACCCACCACCCTGTTTTCTGTTTCACAAGCTCTGCATGTCGTTCGGAAGTCATCATCATTGCGGCAGCGTCGTCGGCCCTCGATCTATGCCGCTCGGCAGTCCGTCGAAGGATATCTCCAACCCAACTTGCCAAGGCAAGGCAGTAGTTCATCCAGCCATCCTTCTCGCGCCCCATACTTGTGAAAGATCCGAGCAAAAACTGACAATATTTACCGATTCGAAAACCGAGGCACCCCCCCTCCCCCCCCCTCCGGTGCGTGAGTTGTGTGTGTACACCCGTGCGTAGTGCGTGAGATCCCCCCCCCCCCCCCCCCCCCCCCCCCCCCCCCCCCCCCCCCCCCC